AAAAAAAAAAAAAAAAGTTTACCACCCTACATAGGACAGGAATTTATGTTTTACTGAATCTTTCTAATTCACTGAATTCTCTCCATTTCCACACGAAAACATACTCATTTGTCTGTATCTGTAATAAAAGAGGGATCTGTCCCTGTTTCTGAGATTTCTATCCCTAGGCTCTGCAAAACTAAGCCATGAAATGCCATTTGAAATCACACAAAAGAACAGATGTGAAAAAAAAAAAAATCACTACATATGCTCAGAGAATGAAATGAGGTACATATTATTAACAAGTGAACAATAAGGGTAGATTTCTTCCCCCCACCTAAAAACCACCTCCTCCCTGTCTCTTTAAAAATATTTGATCTCGGGCCAGCCCATGGCATGGTGGTTAAGACAGCTGGATCCCAGATGGCTGACTGCACAGTCTGAGTCCCGGATCTGGCAGCTTGAGAAACATGCAGGGCATGTGCATACGTGCCCAAAATCCCAAAAGGAGGGGGAGAAAGAAATGGAGGGGAAGGAATTACAGCGTGACCATTCCCCATGGGGCGGGGGGTGGGGGGGGTCTGTGTGCGGGGATGTGCTTTCTCACTTTCTCCGTCTGTGTGTCCCCGGAGAGGGCACACGCCTTCTGGCAAAAAATATATATATATTTTTTTTAAATCTGAAAAAAATATTTGACCTTTTCTTTCAAGGGCTAACAATAACATAAAAATTTTAATTGAATAAGGAACTCAACTGAATTAAGCGAACAAATCTTTTCGCAGTGGGTGGGGGGAGGCAGTACTGACCTAGAACACAGACCAATCTGACACCGTGGCAAGTCAGGCTACATGAGACATGCCCCCACCCAATGCATTCATGGATGTATCCAATGACCACCCTTCCCAAAGAGCCTGCATTGTACCCCTCTTTGTGCCCAAAATAGACTCTAATTTTCACGTTTTTGCACCACCTCCCTGGAGTGGGTTCCCTTGTCCTTTGGGGTAGCTGCCCCCCCTTTACTAGGCTGGGTGAACCCAAAAGGCAGGATTTATTTCTGTCTGGTCCCCCCAATACCACTGGTCCCCCCCAATACCACCAAGTCACTGAACTGAGCTCCCTTCTGGGGCTCCAAGGAATGAAAATAGGGAGGAGAAAAAGACAACGGAGTATGCGAAGGGGTTAACTATTGCTATGTAGGGTAAACCATGACTCCTCCCTGGCCAGAGCATCCAGCTGCTCCCCAGAGAGGCGCCGCCACCCCCACCCCATCCCTCTGTCTCAGGCAGTCTGCGGGGAGGAAATTACCCAGAGGCTGAGATTCACTAGACATTTGGAGGGAGAAGGCAGCTGTGGCCATCATGAGTCAGCCCCAGGGAGTTCAGAAACCAAGAACAAAGAACGCATCGCGCGGGGTGGGCTGGGGACACATCCTCCTGTAAAGTTTCCAACGGGGAAACTTCACCCCCAAAACGTTCTGCTAGGAGGTCTGTGCACCGCAAAGGGAGAAGAAAAAGAACACAAAGATTTTTATTTTATTATTTTTTTTCCTAGCAGAGACTCTCTGGCTCGCGCCCCCCACCCCCACCTTATGCAAAAAGACCACAAAGAAAAAACACATATTTCTGAAAGAGCCCTCCATTGCTTTGTGAAAAAAAAGACGAACAATGAAAATACCGTGTCTGTCTGAAATGCACGATGCGGCAGATTCTTGGACCGTGACTGGAGAGGAACGATGGGCGTTTGGAACAAGGGGTTTAGGGGTGGACGGGGTCAGGAATTGAGGGGTTCACTGCAGGCCCCGCAGAGCGAGGCTTGGGGGAGAGTCAGCGTTGTGGTTGGGAGACACCCCGTTTTCCCGTACATCGGGCAAACGGGGGGACCCTCTGGGAACACCGAGGGATCGAGGACCCCAACACACCACAGCCCCTCCCAGCACGAGCCGCAGACACCGAGTGGGGATCCCTCCCCCCGCACGCCCCGCCCGTCCTCACCGCACAATCTGGGGAGACGCGGAGCTGCCCAGAGAGGGCACCGGGCCGGGTGCCAAAGTCGCCGCGCACAGACGGGACAGGACGCCCGGGGGGGTCCCGCTGCAGACCCACCCCCCCCACCCCGGAACCCCAGGGGACCAAAGGCCGAGCTGCGGCCACCGAGTGCTCCGGGAGAGGCCCAGCCCCCGCCTCAGCCGGTTCTGGCCGGTTCCAGCCGCCCCTCCTCCCCGTCTCGGGAGGCCGGGCCCCGCACACTCACCATTTCCGGCTTCCGGGGTGTCCCGGCGTCCTCCCTGCGGCTCTGTGGTCAGTGCAGGACACTGCGTGACTGAGGCTGCAGCGGAGCCACCAGGGACCTCTCGGAGGCGCGCAGCCGCCAAACCGCGAGGGGCCGCGCGAGACTCAAAGACCCGCGAGAGCCTTGAACCGGCGGCTTCTGCGCACGCGCGCGCCTGATTGGCCAGCTCCCAGGACCCAGCCCGGCGCCCCGGATTGGATGCTGCTTTCGGGGACCCGCACCCCGGGGTTTGAATGACAGAGGAAGTGGTCGCCGCGTGCAGCCCGAGAACCGGAATGACAGGTTCTCGGTCACAGCCCTCCGCTGGCCACGCTGCCTGCCCGCCCCTGCATGGGACTCCGCCTGGAGGATTATGTGCATTTCAGCAGAATTTATTCCTGGCGCTCCAGAGCAGACACGCTAGCGTCTTTATGCACACGCTGAGCCTCGCTGCTTTTTTTCTTTTTTTTTTTTTGATGAAGAATTATTTAATTTTTGAGGGGGGGGCGACAGGGGCGTG